GGGGGAAGCGGTGGCTGCGGGCGAGAGCCATGTGGAACCATGTACGCGCCTCCGCCTAGGAGCTGGACCTGCTGCTGGCCGCTTCAGGCATAGCACGGTCCACGGTGCCAGGACGGACGGGAAGCCTGCCTGTGCACCCCAGCTGCGCAACTGACCGGGAGCCCCTGGAGGTAAATTAGCACCCCAACCCCGCGACCCCAATCCCCTGCCCCAGCCCTGAACCCTCTCCAAACCTGGATCCCCCTTCTGCACCCCTGAGCCCCCTGCAACCCGGAGCCTCTCCTGCACCCCAAACACTTAATCCCTGGCCCCACCCCAACCCTCTGCCCCAACCCTGAGCCCCTCCCACACACCGAACCCTTCATCCCCATCTCCACTGGGTCGTGGGCATCAACAATTTTCTTCAACTGGGTCCCCAGGAAAAAAAGTTTGAAAACCACTGCTCTAGATTAAACTCTTATAAGGCGGATGCAAAACTGATTAAAAGACTGTACTCAAAGCGTAGATCTCAATGGTTCTCTGTCAAACTGGGAGGGCGTATCTAGTGGGATCCCGCAGCCGTCTCTCCTGGGTCCAGTACTAGTCAGTATTTTTATTAATGACTTGGATAATGAAGTAGAGAGTATGTGTAATGCTGACAGACCCAGGTCGTCAGCGGGCGGGATTGAACCTGGGACCTTAGTGCATGAGCCTCTACAGCCTGACCTAAAAGCCAACTGCCTATTAGCTCAGGCTGTAGAGCAAACTCATTAATCTCGCTCTTTCTCTAAGTGGTCTCAGTGCCACTAGATGGGACAGAACATCTAGTGGCACTGAGGTTCCCAGGTTCAATCCAGCCCGCTGGAGGTGTGTGGGTTACATATGCTTATAAAATTAACAGATGACACCAAGCTGGGAGGGGTTACTAGCACTCTGGAGGACAGGATTAGAATTCAAAACAGCCTTGACATATTGGAGAAGTGGTCTGAAAGCAACAAAATGAAGACAAGGACAAAGTACCACACTTAGCAAGGAATAATCAAATACACAACTACAAAATGGGGAATAACTGAGTAGGTGGTACTACTGCTGAAAAGCATCTGGGGGTTATAGCGGGTCACAAATTGAATATGAGTCAACAATGTGATTTTTCTGGGTTGGTTCCAGGGTATGAGAGAGACAAGGTAGGTGAGGCAATATCTTTTATTGAACCAATTTCTGTTGGTGGAAGGGACAAACTTTCAAGCTTCACAGAGCTCTTCTTCAGGCAGGGAAAGTAACCAGAGTATCTGGGCTAAATACAAGTTGGGACAGATTGTTACGCATAAGGGCAGAGGTGGGCAAACTACATCCTGCAGGCCACATCCGGCCCGCGGGACCATCCTGCCCGGCCCCTCCTCTGCTGTCCCCCCTCCCCCGCAGCCTCAGCTCACCGTGACAGCAGCACCCCCCGTGGGGGGGAGGGGCTGCACTGCAGGGGCAGGGGAGCAGGTGGGCAGTGCAGGTGGCGGGAGCGACGCGAACACGGGCCGGAGGACTCAGGAAGAGCACCGGGCAGCCGCACAGCCGGACGGAGAGAAGCGGCACTTTCAAGGGGAAACCGCCGCTTCTTTCCGGTTGCCCCTGCTCCTCCTGCATCCTCTGCCCATGTTCGCAGAGCCACATTCTGAAAGGGATTGGAGTCCCAGGGGGGCAGTCAGGGGACGGGGGGGAAGGGGTTAGATGGGGGTGGGGTCCCGGGGGGCGGTTAGGGAATGGGGGGGTCCCAGGAGGGGGCAGTCAGGGGACAAGGAGCGAGGGGGTTGGATGGGTCAGGGGTTCTGGGGGGGCAGTCGGGGCGGGAAGTGGGAGAGGGTGGATAGGGGGCGGGGGGCAGGCTGTTTGGGGAGGCACAGCCTTCCCTACCTGGCCCTCCATACCGTTTCGCAACCCGGATGTGGCCCTCAGGCCAAAAAGTTTGCCCACCCCTGCATAAGGGGGATGTGTGTATCACATGCTGTCATAACTATAAAGGGAAGGGTAACAGCTGTCCTGTGTACAGTACTATAAAATCCCTCCTGGCCAGAGACTCCAAAATCCTTTTCCCTGTAAAGGGTTAAGAAGCTCAGGTAACCTGGCTGGCATCTGATCTAAAGGACCAATAAGGGGACAAGATACTTTCAAATCTTGGGGGGGGGAAGGCTTTTGTTTGTGTTCTTTGTTTGGGAGTGCGTTCACTCCTTCTGCAGTTGACTGAAACTGGGATGTACTCAGCTCTGGCTGCTGCTGAGTTAACAGAGACTTTCTAACTAGCTACTCCCGAGGATGTAAAAAGAAAAAAAAAACAATTCAGCTTGTAAATTCCTTTTACCAGTCGTTTGTTTGCTCATTAATTGAACACTTCTCTTAACAAAGGACCTTGTTAAAAAAACTTAACACCTCTGCCTTCAGGCAAGGAGAGATAAGATATGCATCCATCTACCTTCAGCTCTGCTTTCCAAGCAGCTAGAAGGAAAAAAAAAATCTTACTGGCTTTTGGGTTTAAAATGATCCCACCGCTCTGCCACCATGTCAAGGCTGTATCCCCACTTTGAACTTTAGGGTACAAATGTAGGGGCCTGCATGAAAACGTCTAAGCTTAACTACCAGCTTAGCTCTGGTCCCACTGCCACCATTCCCAATGGATTCCCTCCCTGGGAAGCCTTGAGAAACCTTTCACCAATTCCCTGGTGAATACAGTTCCAACACCCCTTGGATCTTAAAACAAGGAGAAATTAACAATTCCCCTCCTTCCTCCCACCAACTCCTGGTGAATCAAGATCCAAACCCCTTGGATCTTAAAACAAGGAAAAATCAATCAGGTTCTTAAAAAGAAGGCTTTTAATTAAAGAAAAAGGTAAAAATCATCTCTGTAAAATCAGTATGGAAATTAACCTTACAGGGTAATCAAACTTAAAGAGCTCAGAGGACTCCCCTCAAGTCTTAGGTTCAAAGTACAGCAAACAAAGATAAACACTCTAGTAAAAGGTACATTTACAAGTTGAGAAAACAAAGGAAAACTAACACGCGTTGCCTGGCTATTTACTTACAAGTTTGAAATAGGAGAGACTTGTTTAGAAAGATGTGGAGAACCTGGATTGATGTCTGGTCCCTCTTAGTCCCAAGAGCGAACAACCCCCAAAACAAAGAGCACAAACAAAAGCCTTCCCCCCACCAAGATCTGAAAGTATCTTGTCCCCTTATTGGTCCTTTGGGTCAGGTGTCAGCCAGGTTACCTGAGCTTCTTAACCCTTTACAGGGAAAAGGATTTTGGAGTCTCTGGCCAAGAGGGATTTTATAGTACTGTACACAGGACAGCTGTTACCCTTCCCTTTATAGTTATGACACATGCTGTGGGGGACCACCTAAAATGAAGTGAGCAATTGAGGGTTAGCTGGCAGTACAATGTGTTACAAATTGTTATAATGAGTCATAAAGCCAGAGTCCATGGTTTTCACTGTCTAGTAGAGTTATGAATGTAAATTCCCAAACTTGTCTAACTGATTTTTCAGATTGGGTGCTGAACAGAAAAAAAAAAGAGTTGGTTTTGACCTGAAACTGAATTTTTTTCAGTTTCTTGCTTCCTCCCCCCACCCCCACCCCGGCCCAAAGTTTTGGGTCAAACAAAATGTTTTGTTTTCAGTTTCAGGTCATTTTGGGATGTTTTTCATTTTTTTTTTAATAAAAATTAGCTAAATTTAAAAACAAAGGAGCATTTGAAACAGAAGTTGAAGTGTTATCATGTAACATTCATACAGACAGAAATACTGTTGAGTGTAAAGTCTTCACAAGCTTGGTTAGTAATGCGGTACATCTGTTTTGTCATTGTCAAGGTTCCTTCCCCACTCTGAACTTTAGGGTACAGATGTGGGGACCTGCATGAAAACTTCTAAGCTTAACTATCAGCTTAGATCTGGTTTTGCTGCCACCACTCCCAAGTGCTAACTCCCTTCCCTGGGTAGCCTTGAGAGACTCCTCCACCAATTCCCTGGTGAACACCGATCCAAAACCCCTTGGATCTTAAAACAAATTAATCATTCCCCCCACTTTCCTTTCCCCCCACCAATTCCTGGTGAGTCCAGATCTAATCCCCTTGGATCTTAAAACAAGAAAAAATCAATCAGGTTCTTAAAAAGAAGGCTTTTAATTAAAGAAAGAAAGGTAAAAATCATCTCTGTAAAATCAGGATGGAAAATAACTTTACAGGGTAATCAAATTCAAAGAGCCCAGAGGAACCCCCATCTAGCCTTAGGTTCAAAGTTACAGCAAACAGAGGTAAACGCTCTAGCAGAAGGAACATGTACAAGTTGAGAAAACAAAGATAAACCTAACACACCTTGCCTGGCTGTTACTTACAAGTCTGAAATATGAGAGACTTGTTCAGAAGATTTGGAGAGCATGGATTGATGTCTGGTCCCTCTTAGTCCCAAGAGCGAACAACCCCCAAAACAAAGAGCACAAACAAAAGCCTTTCCCCGCACCAAGATCTGAAAGTATCTTGTCTCCTTATTGGTCCTTTGGGTCAGGTGTCAGCCAGGTTACCTGAGCTTCTTAACGCTTTACAGGTAAAAGGATTTTGGAGTCTCTGGCCAGGAGGGATTTTATAGTATTGTACACAGGAGGGCTGTTACCCTTCCCTTTATAGTTATGACAGTCATATAACTCTTTTCAATTATCTTTTAATTTGGCATTCCAATGGTGATTTAATCTGTAAGTTCCTTGATGCAGAGACCATAAGAGATCACTGAGTGCACTCTCAGTGCATGACAGATAATAATATGAAACTGCTTTGCTTCACCTACCACAGCATTCTAGCAACCTTTGCATTTTCTCCTTTGTTGGCTGGTTTGGTTTGGTTTTGTTCTATTGTGGGGATGAACCGCTGGGGTTGTTTGTTGTGTGGTTTGTGTCTTTAAAGATGCCTAGACATTGGACTAGATGATTTTTAGTGTAAAGTTTTTATGTTACTTAGATGTTTTACATGACATTTGGATTTATTGCAGGTATACGTCCAATGGTACCGAAAGCAAGGTCGCCTACATAACGAGGTAACTAGTCCCTGTTGGACTTGCCTGGATTTTGTGAGCATCTGAGGCCTCACAATTAGAGCTCTGGAAATCAGTTCCATGTTGCTGAGATTCCTAACCTCTTCTGTTTAGTTTTGACTTGGGGTTTGCTACCAAATGTCAAATGAAAACTGAACTGAAACTAGCAGTGGCTCTTCAGAGGCAGGTGGAGGAGGAGAGCACTGGGCCAGTGCTTACCTTTTTCTGAATTAGATACATTAAGGGACCAGGTCCTCAGCTGGTATAAGTCCGTGTACTCCACTGACTTCAATGGAGCTATCTATGCTTGCTGAGCATTTTTCCTGGGATCTTTACGTATTTCCGTAAACTGGCTCTGAAAGGTCCTTTCATATGTTCACATCCTCTGCCAACCTCCTAATGACACCAGCAGCCACAGATAAACAGCTGAGTCTCACCTATTGTCTGATCTTGACACAAAATCACAAACTGGCTGCCATGTTAGTAAGAACTGGGCAAAGAAGTGTGAGCCTTGACTACCTGATCTGAGCTTGCAATGGAATACAGAAGCAGGTGAGAGTTGCACGGTTTGGGATTTAGTTATGGATGTTCTGTGCAGACTTATTCCCCCATTTTTTCTCACCTGCATTGAATCTCTGGCACTATTTGGGCTGGCATCCAAAGGTGTAATTAATTGCTTTCTGAAAACTCTGCCTGCCGTTCTTTCTCTAGTGAGGGATGGCTCGTTTATGGGTCATCTTTAAAAGCCTCATTTCCTCCTGCCTGCCAGCCAGCCTTTTTGTAAGCCAAACTTCCATTGTTCTTTCTCTATAGCAACCATATCCTGGAAGTTTTACTACAAATTGAATTACCAAGGTAGAACTTTTTATTAGTTTCTGTTAAGTGTTTCAGCTGCTTTCAGAAGAGCTCTGGTATTCCTGAAGGATGATGATCTATGCTTGTGGAACTCCAATACTCTGTTTTAGAATTACATTTGTGTATTATGAATCATCAATACAGCATGATGACACTGAGATTTAGACAAGCTCAGATGTTACTGATCTTTGAAAGATCTCAGCAGTGATCTCATGGATCTTGGTATACATCAGTCTGCACCTCAATTCTGACCTCCAGGAAGCTCTACTATTCAAGTTGAGCCACACACACAGCTCTATCAATGTTCCGCATTCCCGACCTGCAAAACTTTTCTACTCCTATCCTGTATGCTCCCACCACTTTGCTAATGCACCTCATTCCTGACTTTTAATGTCTCCCTCTGAGCCTCTCAGGAGCACAGATTGTCAATCAAGCCACACTGCATATAGGTTTTGTGATATGAACCAATATTAGGGACTAGAGAGAGACCACTAAACTTATGTTCATATGTGACCTGACCCAGGATTTAAACTCAAGTCACCAGAGGTACAGGAAAGCTAAAACCCTTTCCTTTGGAGTTCTGAGTATGGGTCACTGAGTTCTCAATGGAGCTGATCGGTGGGAATCTTTTATCTGTCTGTAAACTCTAGAAGGATTTTTTTTTAAAGAGCTATGGAAATCATTTTTTGTTTTCCTACTTTTCGTTTAGATTGATGTACACAAAGCCACAGATTCTAAAGCCATCGTAAGTAAAACTAAAAATAAGTGTTTTGTTACATTCAAGATATAACTAAAGTTAATTGACTAAAATCTGACCAAGAAACTTCCTTAAGGATTTGAACTTGTCTTGCTCTGTGTTAACTTAAGCATACAAAATCTCAGAAACACTTGGGTCTTTATACAAAGTACAAGCCAGAATGTTTTGTTCCGTTACAAACCTCAGACATGCTGGATAGATGCTAGTGCAGTGCAAACATTAATTAGTTGATAGATCCCAGTAACCTGCTACATTATATAGCCTTACTGCACCATGTCTTATGACTTCATGGAGTTGTATATTTCTTTACAGCTGTTAGTTATCTATTTTTGAACTTTAACACATGGCTCTGGTAGTGTCTTTCTATACATAGGGAAGGCAACCGCCTCCGTGTTTCTTCCTTCTATAGTGTGATTCTAAAGAAAACTTCCTCTTCCACAGGAGAAGTGACGTCCTTACGATGACTCCATGGTTTGCTCCAATAGTTTGGGAAGGGACCTATAACTCCGAGATCCTGAATGAGCAGTTCCAACGAAGGAATGTCACTGTTGGACTGACAATGTTTGCTATCAAAAAGTGAGTCTGAACTATGTTAGGTACGAAAGGTGATGTATAACCAACGAGGAGGTGGGGGAACCAATTTTTTGTGTGTAGTGATAGTGTATGGTATCCCCTGTTCACCTCCCTCTCCCAAGCAGGAGTTTTGTTGGAAGATTGCTGATTGACTTAAAACACATTTCAGTGACAGGGAAAGGACAGGGCTTTTCCAGTGTGGTGGAGGAGGAAATTAGGAGGGTCTGGCAGCTGTGAGAAAGGGTCAGATTAAGCTGCTTGTCATTTGTGTCTCAGAGGGAGGCGGACTGGAGGGATTGTCAACTATGGAAGTTGAGTGATGTACTTTCCTCTTTTCCCTTTGCTCTGGGAACAAAGTTTTTGACCTTAGGTGCTGCTGACTTCATGATAGGTGGTCTTTTATCTTCTCTGTACATTGTTATCATTCTACTTGGGGTGGAATATTTAGAAATACAACCACGTAACTGGGCACAGAGAGAAATCCTTCAAGAGTCTTTCTTACAAAGGAAGAACTTGATTTTCATGCTGAGCGGTGCTTTATCTGATTTGTAAATGAAGGAAAATACCTAGCGTGGTTAGTGACATACCCAGCTATGCAAGCACAGATTAAGGAACTATTTAGTAAAATTATTGTTTTCCAAAGGCTGTGCATGCTACCATGAAGTCCTTGTTAGTCATGGAGCATAGGTTCAACCAGTGGTTATAAGCGCTATTGCCTGCCAACAGAATTTTTTTGCAAAATATATTGCTAAAGGTCAAAAGGACTCCAGATCAAAGTATAGTAAAATATCCTGATTATTTTATTATTATGATCCTGTTAAGAATGGACAAGTAGGTTTTTGTACCTGTGCTGATAAATATTTATAACAATTTTGCAAGGCTGATTTGGCCACCAGTGAGATGCAGCAACTGTTCAACGTTGTACATCAATGAGACACAACAAATAGGATAGGAAGCAAAGAATAGCAGATCCATTTTGAAAATATAGGGCCAATTTGGGAAGATGGGATGAAAGAACTGAAGTTTGAATTTGTCGAAGATCCTGGGTAGAATACTCCTACTCTTGTGAAAAGTTTAATGGGATTGATAATGATTATATGTAATCAGTGCTTTTGAAAGACAAAACCCCAAGCAACATAACACTTCCCTAACATTATGCTGGCACAATGGTTTGTAACTGCCCCAGAATCAATATGAATTAGGGTTTCTTCCCAATAATATCTTGAGGACTCCCAACCCCCCGTGTTCCCCATCCGCCGAATCCGTGTGACCAGTGGACCCGCCGAAAGCCGCCTGCCTGCCATGCTTGGGGCGGCAGAAAACATAGAGCCGCCCCGCCCTGACCCCAACACCCCAGAATCTGTGCCCCATCCATTCTCCCCCTGCTCCCTGTCCCCTGACTGCCCCCCCCAGAGCCTCTTCCCCATGCATCCTTTCCCTGTCTCCTGACTGCCCTGACCCCTATCCACACCCCTGCCTCCTGACAGGCCCCCAGGGAACCCACCCCCTATCCAACCCCCGCCCCCCTCTCCCTGTCCCCTGACTGCCCTCTCCCTGAAACCCCCTGCCCCTTAACCAACCCCCCGCCCCCCTTACCATGCTGCTCAGAGTAGCAGGAGCTCAAAGCCCCTCCGCCTGCACTGCCTGGCAGGAGTGGTGGGCCAGAGGGCAGGTGGCATGGCGAGCTGAGGCTATGGGGGAGGGAGGACAGCACGGGAGGGGCCGGGGGCTAGCCTGTAGCTCAGGGACTGGGCAGGACAGTCTCGCAGGCCGGATGTGGCTCGCGGGCCGTAGTTTGCCCACCTCTGGGCTAGGCATATACATGACAAATGAGGTTGATGTTAATTTCTGACAGTGTACAGTGTACAACTCTCATGTTGAACCCTCCCATAGTGAAATGAAGGGGGCTTGGATATTTGCCATGAAACCTTGTAAATGCCCCCTCACTCCTGTTGGGTTTGAGCTGATTTCTGTAAGAGGGTAGTGCCTCAACTGGCCCCTCTACTCCTGAGGGGGTTTGATGGATTTTTTTCTACAGGTTCCTTTGCTGACCCTCTCCAATACTTTACCAGGATAAGGATCCTGAGTGCTGTAGGTCATAGTGCCCTGGCTGTTTCCCAACCATTGATGTCAAACCGCTGCCAGAGATCTTGGCTCATAGCTGGCTCTGCGGGGGGCAGCTCGTGTAACACATTACACCTCCTGGTTATTTGCAGGACAGCTGAAATAGCAGGTAATGAGCAGAACACCTTTGAAATGCCGCTGCACCTGGGCCACGCAGGCAAGTCATTTTGCTTGGATGGTGCATGGAGCTGGAATGTGAACATGACAGAGAAAACTCTCATTTTCACTGCAAGGCTGGCTAAGTGGCAATATAGGCCCAATCCTGAGAGGTGCTGCGTGCCCTTATCTCTCACTGGAGTTAAAGATATTCAGTATCTCTCAGGAGATGATGCGTACCTTGCTTTGAAAGTCCCTAGAGCAAGAGGTTCAAATTCAGGCAGGGTACAGGTCAGCTCTTCATCCTTCCCAGATAGACTCCCTTTCTGACTGTTTGGGAGGGACAGAGTGGCATGTTGTCTATGGTTCATTTCTCAGCACTTCCACATGTGTTCATGGGCAGAGCACTCATGTGATCACCGCAGTACCTAAGACCTCACTTGCTCCTGCAGCATGGATTCCATGAGAGTCACGTGCAATGCCCTGAACAGCTGAATGTGGCTCAAGAGATGAAGGTTGATGATCGTCAGTATTTGGAAGGAAATAATCCTAACCAGGAAACTAGCAACAAATATTTTAGAAAACAGTGTTTCTGACTAAAACAGATTCTTTTTGTTGTTCATGAGCATTGTCAATTCCTGCTTGCAACAAAACCCATTAGGTGGAGTCACAGTTACTTGTTACTTCTTAATAGGAATCTTATATTAATTGGGTACTTTCATAGGAGAGAAAATAGACATTTACACAGCTTTGATCATCATAAAATGCTTTACAAAGTAGGTAGGAATTAGTTCATCTTCCCCTCCATAAATAAGAACAAAAGCTAAAATCCTAGATCCCTCTTGTGAGTCCAACCATGTCATCAGCCCCCATCAGTCCTTTCACTGCCTCTTGTCTTTTTCCACACTAAATTCAGAATCCTCATCCTCACCTTCAAGATGCTTTACAACTCTGCCCCTTCTTACACCTCCACCATTTCCCCCACCTACTCCCTCTTCTGCACACCCTATTGGTCTCCCTGATCCTTTCACTTTGTTGCTCTCTGTATCCCCTTCTTCCTGTCTTCTACCACAGTGACTTTTATTTCTAATAGAGCATTTCTTTCTTTTTTTTCTAGGTATGTAGTCTTCCTCAAGAAGTTTTTAGAAACTGCAGAGATGTATTTTATGGTTGGACATAGGGTGAACTATTACATTTTCACAGACAGACCAGAAGAAGTTCCTAAAGTTGCGCTCAAAGAAGGAAGGAATGTAGTGGTTCTGCAAGTCCAAAACTACCCTAGGTGGCAAGAAATCTCTATGCGACGAATGGAATTGATCAGCAACTTCTCTCAGCAGCGGTTCATTAATGAGGTCAGCTACCTAGTGTGTGTGGATGTAGACATGAGGTTTAATGACCAAGTTGGAGTGGAGATCCTGAGCAACTTGTTTGGCACACTACACCCAGGTTTCTATGCTGCAGAGCGTCAGTCTTTCACCTACGAACGTCGACCTGCTTCTCAAGCTTATGTGCCCAGCGATGAGGGTGACTTCTACTATGCTGGAGGCTTTTTTGGAGGAACAGTAATGGAGGTTTACATGCTGACCAAGAAATGCCATGAAGCCATGATGGTGGACAAAGCCAATGGAATTGAGGCAATCTGGCACGATGAGAGTCACTTAAACAAGTATTTTGTTTACTACAAACCAACCAAAATACTTTCTCCGGAATACCTGTGGGATGACAATATGGGTAGGCCAGAGATCCTTAAGAAAAGAAGGTTTCTTGCTCTACCAAAGAACCATGCTGCAATCAGAAATAAATGAAGTTCATCTCAGACTGGCCTTAGTGCGAACTAACATAACTGATATTGTAGGTTTCCTTGATTGATGAAAATATACAGACAATTAATAAAGCTCCATAACTTTTTCTGACATCCACAGTATTTCTGGATATGGGAATGATTTGCAAGATGTTACTGTGATGTTGCACTCCATATGTTTTATGGAAATGTGCTAATGAGTGTGACTACAATGTAACTGGAATATCCTTCATGCAGAAGGTCTCTTGTAAGGTATCATTACAAAGCTTATAATCTATTGAGTGTGTTCATCCTATCTGTATGAATGTATCATTCTTGTATCTGAAGCTAGAAATATGAAGTATTCCTCTGAAGTCCTATTGTAACTATGCAAAGTATGGGTCATTAATGGTGGCTTAAAATCTTGATGGCTCCCATTAACTAGGACAATTGGTTGTAAATGGCTCTGTTTACTCACAAACCTTCCTGTGCATGTGCAGTCCAACTCTGAAAGAATGGAGAATGAGGTCTTACAGTGACATGTGATCATGTCAACTGGTACTGGAATCCATTATAAACCTGTATCAGAGGGGTAGCCGTGTTAGTCTGAATCTGTAAAAAGCAACAGAGGGTCCTGTGGCACCTTTGAGACTAACAGAAGTATTGGGAGCATAAGCTTTCGTGGGTAAGAACCTCCCTTCTTGCATCTGAAGAAGT